ATGTTCAAGATTAGATTATTGGCTTGTCTCCCAAACAGTATCATCATATGTTACGAAATGTGAGACCCAGTCAACCCCACTTACTGATCATTGTCTGATAAGTCTCTTATTATCTCTACGTAAACAACAAAGATCTGACAACATATGGAAATTTAACAATAGTTTATTACAAAACGAAGACTTCTGTAAACAAGTTAAAGAACTTAAATCAGAAATTAACAATATGAGCATGACTAATGTCAGTAAATGGGAATGGTTTAAATATAGTGTGAAACAATTAGCTATAGAAACGGGAAAGAAAGTGTCTGCCCTACGCGTATGTGAACAGAAAAATCTAATTGAACAAATTCATTTATTATGTGGTAAACCCTGTATGACTGCGGAAGAGTCAGAACGCTTACAATCTTTACAAAATAAGCTAGATGAGGTGTACTTGATTAAAGCTAAAGGAGCATATGTAAGGTCTAGAGCCAAGTGGATTGACATGGAGAAAAAAATTCATCTTATTTCTATAGTCTAGAGAAGCGTAGACAAACAAAGAAAAAAATAACTAAATTGAGTAAGGATGGTACTATAATTGAGGAACCAAACAAAATAAGTGAGGAAATTAACATGTTCTATAGTAATCTGTATAAATCAAGAACTGAAAAAGAAAATGCAGATATCTTTTTTGATATGATTAAAGATCAGGTAAAAAAATTGGAAGAGGATGATAAAACATGGTTAGAAGAAGATTTGAAAATATCCGAATTAGATACAGCTCTAAAACAAATGAAAAATGGAAAATCGCCTGGAATTGATGGTCTAACGATTGAATTTTATAAAACCTTTTGGCAAGACATTAAAGATTTGTTATTTAATGGCTTTTTGGATTGTTTAAAAAATGAAGAACTATCCCCAACAATGAAAACAGGATTAATAACCTTATTACCCAAACCAAACAAAGATTTACAAATGCTAGACAATTGGAGACCCATAACACTTTTATGTAACGACTACAAATTATTAGCCTTAGTATATGCAAATAGGCTTAAAAGCGTCTTAACCAAATTGATTGATGAGTGCCAATCAGCGTTTATTAAAGGAAGGCAGATTCATAATAACATAAGATTAATATTAGATATGATTGACTATCGATCCTTTATTAATTCAGAAAGTTTAATACTATTTATTGACTTTTTTAAAGCATTTGATTCAATAGACCATAATTTTTTATTTAGATCTTTAGAACTTTTTGGATTTGGAAACAAATTTTGCAAAGTGATCAAACTGTTCTACAAGCAAATTTATAGTTATGTTTCGCTCAATCCAGGCATAACATCTAGGATAGACATATTCTGTGGAATTCGACAGGGTTGCCCAATTTCTCCAAAATTATTTATTCTTTGCACTCAATTAATGGCTTACCTCATTGTGAACCATTCAGACATCGAAGGAATAAACATTTTTGATATTGAACTGAAAATAAGTCAGTTTGCAGATGACACAGTAATATTTTTAAAGGATAAATCAATACTCGAGAAAGCATTGAATGTCATTTCAATTTTTTCTAAAGCTTCAGGCTTGTGTCTGAACCTAAAGAAGTGTGAACTTTTGCCACTTTATGATTGTTTGGAAAATAGCATGAGGACGATTCCAGTGAAAAATGAAGTTAAGTATCTAGGCATCTATTTAGACAAAGACATCAACACTAGAGAATCAAAAAACCTAAAAGACAAAATTGATGGCATGTCCAAAACACTAAATCATTGGTTGACGAGAGATATTACAATTTTTGGACGCAATCTATTATCCAAATCAGAGGGCGTCTCAAAGATGGTTTATCCAGCATACTCACTATACATTACCCCGAAAAGTATTAAAAAGATTAACTCTATAATCTATCAATTCATTTGGCGCAATAAAACACATTACATTAAAAAATCACAACTTGTCAAAGATTACGCTAAAGGTGGTATAAAGTCAATTGATTTTCAATCAATGGTTGGAGTATTTAAAATAAACTGGATAAAAGCCTTCCTCTTGAAACCTGACTCCATATGGTTCCATATCCCAAAAAATATTTTCAAAAAGGTGGGAGGGTTGGATTTTCTCCTGAAATGTGATTTTGATATATTGAAGTTGCCTGTGAAACTGTCAGAATATCATAAGCAGGTCTTGTCTTATTGGAAGATGGTGTTTGCCCATAACTTTTCACCACATTGCTCCACCTTGTGGAATAACAGAACAATTACAATTAATAAGAAGTCATTGTTTATTAAAGAGTGGTTTGAAAAAAACATAATCTTTATAACAGACTTACTTGATGAAAGGGGTCAGTTTCTCTCAGTGGGTGTTTTTAATGCTAAGTTTAACATTCAGTGTTCCCTTAGAGAATATGACAAGGTTTGTAATGTAGAGCTGGGCGATAGAACGATAACGATATGTATCGCGATATAACTTTTACTCGATAGAGAAATTAAGCTATCGCGATAGACCTCGCCGCTCTTGTCCTCTTAAAAAAAAAAAAAAAGGTCAGCCAATCCAAATTAAGTAGCGCAGAGCCGAACCAATCACAGCCGCAGCGTCACGTCGCGTGACTTGTTACGTACAGCACAAGTGCCAAGCCGCACGTGTGTTTGTTTGGGAAGCAGCCAGCGGGTAATGGAGCCAGCGGGTAATGGAGGAAATGAGTGTGCCGACTAGAAAAATCAACCGAGCGTGACCGAAGAGAAAACAGATGATGGTTCCAACGCCGGAGAGATTGTCGAACGGAAGAGCCATAGAAGTTCCGTAGTGTGAAGGTATTTCGGCTATTTCAAGTCTGACAAAAAACAGAGTAGCGTGCACTGTAAATTGTGCCGAAAGCAAGTCTGGAAATACAATAAACTGGTGCATGCGTCACACTGTGCGCCACGTTATTGTTTCGGTGAAATGAATTTCTACAATACTGTTACTGTTAATTCTACTCTCTGCAGTGTTTAAATGCTTACATATACACACAGTTACTGTCCCTCCACACATACGACTCGGTTCTGCTTCTATGCCCCAGCTTTGTTTACTTTTTCCCACCGAGGCTTCTAGACTTCTGATTGGCCAACATTTCTGCACGGTTAGGAATCTAGCGCCACCTGCTGCTTTGGCATGTTCATAGCAGCGTTTTCCTTCATTTCTGCCTTTATGTGTGGACGGGATTATTTTTTAAAACGAAAACGGAAAATCT